ATATGTCAATTCACTATAGAAAATACTGACAGGCAAGAAAATCACTAATAAAATTACATACGGTTTTTTAGTTGATGATATGTTATATTCATCATCTGCAAATCCGATGAAGATTTTATCACCAGTAAATTCATCAACAGATGATAAATCACCAACGATAGTTTTTCCAACTAAATATTTCTGCCCATAAGCCTATAGGTAGATTTTATAGCAATAGACTAAGAATATAAATACCAACAAAATATTTTATCAATAAATTTAGAAATCATAGTGATGGGTAACTAATTCTCAGATCCTCTATCAAGCCTCTTCTAGACTTTAAGATACCCTCCACTTTCTTGTCCTCTCCATGCAAAGATTAGGCCAACACTGCCTAAATCCAACACATACCAGAATGTGAATCAGATGTCTAGATGATTTCAGCACTGTTATGTCAGCTATGATTTACTCCACGATAACCAAATACTCTCAGATTTACCGTTTGCTTTCACTCAAAAACTAGCATCAAATTTTAGTTTTTCAATTATTTTCTCTATTGCCCGACCACTAATTCTTGGTTCAGTTGTTGCTATAATATAATTTTGAAAATTAAGGATTGACACCAAGGCTCGTTGATTCTTGTTTTCTCTTTAGCAGACAAGTTAATTAACGGGCAATCTTTCCTCTTCTCCCACATCACCCTCTTCATCATGGTTTGAAATATACTCATCCATATCACAGGCTTCAATCATTTTACAATTTACAATATGTCATTGGGGATGTGTATAGGGCTGAAATTCATGTTTTTATCTACGGTCATACTCGATTTTAATAGTCCGAATTAAAATATAGATGTTTATCTATAACCATTAATTGATGAGTTAAAATTGTTGTGATCATCCGAGGTTTGGCTTATGATGCATCAAGAAAAAAATATTCTTTGATGAAGAAAGCTATGATATAGACTATCAATGATTTTTCTATATATAAAATGGTTTTTAGTTGGAGTACGCATAAAAAATCAGCATATCAATATGGTAATAAATGCTGGTAAAATGTTTTTTATATTGTCACTAATGGTTCCTACCAATAGGTCAAAAGTCTTCTCTTGTAGACTATGGTTCTTACTTAGATGCAAACCAAGCTTGATGAAGCTTTTTGTGAAAACACACGGGGAGAATGATGATTATAAAAAAAAAGGTGCAAAAACTCTTGGATAATCAAACTCAATACTTTGTGGTAAATTGGTTTTCGACTATTTTTTCTTAAGTTATTATTTTTTTTAAATTTGCTGACTTTTTTTAGGATACATATAACACTACGTTAAAGGAGAAATACAATGACAATCATTTGACCCATCTGAATCTCGATTTGGAGTTGAGGTTAGAGGCAGGATCGTCTATGCACTTAATAGAAATTAGGTTGTACCGGCTTTCTAACATCATGATCGAGGACTTATTGATAGCCCATAATATTTCAACCATTAGATGCTCTCAATAGGTTCTAAACACTCAAACTCTAGAATTCGAGATGATTTTAGACTAACGATTTCAAGTTTGGACGACCTATATTACTATTGATTATGCACGACTATCTATTGAGACAGTTGAACTTTACATATCGGTAATGGATATGAAATCACAAATAAATGGTACATGTGTTCCCCCTTATTAGCTCTATAGTCTTGGTAAAGACCCGCCTCCTTCTCATCCTCTAGCATTTATAATCTAAGTTAATTGTATTTGAACTTATAAATGTTTGAATTTGTAATAATATCTTGATTTTTATATTATATTATTTTATTTTAATTATTTTCTACTTTTATTTAATATATTTTAACTTTTAAATTAAATTATTACTAAAGGTATTTGTTGGTATATTCAAGAGAGTAGAAAAACAATTACTGCAAATATCACTGTTATTGTTTAATAACTAATGGAATTGTATATGATTTTCTTGTTGGATATATGTCAATTCACTATAGAAAATACTGACAGGCAAGAAAATCACTAATAAAATTACATACGGTTTTTTAGTTGATGATATGTTATATTCATCATCTGCAAATCCAATGAAGATTTTATCACCAGTAAATTCATCAACAGATGATAAATCACCAACAATAGTTTTTCCAACTAAATATTTCTGCCCATAAGCCTATAGGTAGATTTTATAGCAATAGACTAAGAGTATAAATACCAACAAAATATTTTATCAATAAATTTAGAAATCATAGTGATGGGTAACTAATTCTCAGATCCTCTATCAAGCCTCTCCTAGACTTTAAGATACCCTCCACTTTCTTGTCCTCTCCATGCAAAGATTAGGCCAACACTGCCTAAATCCAACACATACCAGAATGTGAATCAGATGTCTAGATGATTTCAGCACTGTTATGTCAGCTATGATTTACTCCACGATAACCAAATACTCTCAGATTTACCGTTTGCTTTCACTCAAAAACTAGCATCAAATTTTAGTTTTTCAATTATTTTCTCTATTGCCCGACCACTAATTCTTGGTTCAGTTGTTGCTATAATATAATTTTGAAAATTAAGGATTGACACCAAGGCTCGTTGATTCTTGTTTTCTCTTTAGCAGACAAGTTAATTAACGGGCAATCTTTCCTCTTCTCCCACATCACCCTCTTCATCATGGTTTGAAATATACTCATCCATATCACAGGCTTTAATCATCCTCCCATCCAAATAAGAGACTTCTACAAGGGAATCTCCATAGCTGAGACCCTCTTTGATTTCCTTTGGCTCTGTCAACTTGCTTTCCTGTATCGACTTTGATTTATTTATTAGAACATGGTAATAAACAGTTTTTAATCTAAATGGTAACACCGAAATAAAACTAAAAAAATAATGTAAAAGTTTTGTGTTAGCTTAAAGAGAATAGGATGGACAACATAAAAGCAAACGATTTAAATGTAACCTCAAAGGCTAGCTTGGTGGTTAAGGAGGATAATTTGTTCCAAATTATTTATTTATTTATTAGGTTTAAATTTAGAGACTAGCATCATGAGGATTTATTAAACATCTCTAAATACATTAGACCGATATAAAAAGTATGCTCTTAAAGGGAGTCCTTTTAAGATCGCTTATAAAAAAGAACTTAGTCTCAAATTAATGTACAAGTTAATCCAAGGATATCCCTTACCATTGAAAACAAAAAAATTAAGTGGATGAAGATTTTTGAAAATAATAGACACTACATTTGGAGATTCATTGCTTTCTTTAATTATAGAATGAAAACAATTTTGTACACATCAGAGGGGAACATCGCTTGAAACGTTAAGCTTAGACAAAAAAAAAAAAAATCAAATTGTTTATTTTGATTTGAACCAAATTAAATTTAAGAACTAAATTTATTGGTTTGGTTTAATTTAGTTTATTTTTAATTTATTAAAATTGAATAAAATTAATTTGAATTAATAGGTCTTTAATTGAAGTACTTGTTCAAAATTTTAATATATTTAATAAATTATGTTTAATTTAGTTTAACTTGGGTTAATTTTTTTATTTTTAAAATAAAAAACTATAATTTCTAACCGAAATGATCCAATAAACTAGAAAAATTATTGGGTTTAGTTAATTTCATAAAAATCTTACTGATATTTTAAATAATCACATTAATTTACTTATCCTACTAAACATATATCTCATTCCTGGAAAAAAATAAAATAAAAATCAGGCACTATTTTTAATAAGATAACGTTATGAGAGAATCTAAATCTACCCACCCCACCCCCACCCCCACCTCACCCCACCCAGATAGGAGAAAAAATATTGAGGATTCTTATCCAACCATGTGGCTGGAACTGAAACCATCATGGCATCATCATCCGAGCGCATGTGACCACTGCGGTACACAAAGACTGGCTTCTATTGTATTGTACTTTGTGCTTGTCACCCTCAGACATTAAATGCAAAGTGGGATTTTTCGGAGGCCGGTTCGAAAATCACAGATTGATCAGACCACCATGGCATTATCTGCCGGACTTGCCTGGTCCATAATTATATTATCCAGCCGGGTCTCATGAGTGAAGTTCCTTCCCTCACATGTTTTTATTTTTTAATGGTAGGTGGAGTTATTTTTTAAATATTTTTATTTAAAAATATATTTAAATAATATTTTTAATATCAAATTCAAAAACGCAATTTTTTTTTTAAAATTCAATATTTTCAACTTTTATTTATAACACATTACTAATTAAGACTTGGAGTATATTTGGAATTATAATAGTATTGATGGTTAAAAATATTTTTTGTTTAGATATATATTAAAATAATTTTTTTTATTTTTTAAAAATTATTTCTAATTTTAAAGTATCAAAATAATTTAAAAATATAAAAAATTTAAATTAAAAAAAAAACACAATTTAAACGCAGTTACTAACTCACTCTATATAAAACTCAACATTGTTTCTTCAGTAAATTCATGATTTGACTTGTTTAACCATCACCCGAGTCTTGGCTTAGATTAAATGTCAACTCAGTTCTTGGAGCTACAGCCTACCTAACCTCAGATTGAGATCTATCAGTGGGGTTTTGGTTCACAATTCGGTGGAAGCTGATGAGGTCTGTGTCAGAATAAAACTGCAGGGAGTTGGTCACCTAAACCACTCACCCTTAAAGTTGTCTGCGAAGCATTACTACTAGTAATAGTTAACGAACAGCAACAACCTATTAATGACAGGGTCCAGCAACCACTACTAGTAATAGTTAACGAACAGCAACCTATTAATGACAGGGTCCAGCAACCTCTGCTGATCCCGATGAATCTCTTCCGAGAGGAAGCGGGACTGAGGGGTTAGATTCCCCTAGATTCTGCGTTTTCTTTGACATTGGGAGCGATGGAAGATCCCAAAATCTGAGTCTTTTGCAGCATGTTCAAATCCCATCATATATCAAGGATTTCAGCCAGTTTTGCGATGATTAGAATAAGATTCCGGATACAAGGCAACTTGACTAGACATGGAAGAGAAAGACAGTTAAAAATTGATTTTGTACACCAAAAAAAAAATAATAATAATAATCCTCAAGTACTCGACCATATACACATAAGTGGAAGCACCAAGACAAGAAAACATACCTAAAGCCTAAACATGTAAAAAGCAAAAGACAATAGACTGCCACGATAAATTAACCAAACAAAAATGCAATCCATAACTCTCTTTTTTTTCTTTTTTTTTTCTCTCTTCTAAAAATTCCTATATCTCACTTTATTGAGATGAACTGACGAGTTTTAATAAATCTACAAACCTGTATGAATATACCCATACTATAAATAACCACACCTCATTTCCACCGGAATATTCCATGGAAATAACGAGAACTATCGGGATCTGCCCTTACCTGCTTTTTTCCGACGATTCTTTGCTGGTTTTCCGAAAGCACCACAAAACCCACATGCAGACACCTTTGGAGAGGGAGGCTCTATTGCCGGAGACACCCTGCCGGTGCGGTAGCCACGTTGTCCACCGTTGGATCGACTTCTCTCAATGGTGATGCTGGGCGTTGATGATCTTGAAGTTGGTCTGACATCGTTCTCTAGCTTGATATCTGTCTTCTGATCATGCTGTAGCTCTTGTTCTTCGTGTTCTTGTTTTTGGTTGACTTTGTTTAGCTCTCCTGAGATAAGCTTATCATCCCATACAAGCCCTGAGGAACCCTGCCTCCTGAAAGACACGGCAGATCTTTGCAAGCCAGCCATCAATTAATCCTCTCTCTAGACCGTTCTATATGGGCTGGCTATAAATGAATGAAATATATACGACTTTTCTCTTCTTGCTATATATGAATATTTATAGAAAGGGACATATATAAAAGAAGAAGATAAACAATGGTCGCGTTGGTTTGGTTGAGAGAGAAGGCTCATAATGAGGCAACTCGGTCAAATATAACAAGACTTCTTTAACCTTGTTCTTTCTGTTGAGATTCATGTCATCCCATTATCTCAAGAGGATTGATAGTAATTTTTCTTTTATCATGGTAAATTTGTTTACTTAATTGTTACCATACTCATTAATTAACTGTTTGGCAAATGAATTTATTATATACATATCGTGTATTATATGATCAATTCAGGTGTTTAATATAATACTAGATAGAGAGAGCACGTGCTATACCGTTGGCTTAGTTAAATTTTTTTAATGTAAAAAAGAAAAAACCTAGGAGATTACAATTCAATTAAATTTAGGTTAACTTTACTAATATCAACTCAAGATATGAAAAAAAAAATCACCTACAAAAAAAATAAAAAAAATCTGTAAAACTTAAGGCTTAATAATCAAATGCTAAAGGATAAAACAGAAAAATATATTTTTAAAAAATATAACAACTTATAAAAAAACTTGATTCAACCTGAGGTACTTGACTAATTAATTTATAGATTGTGATATAAGACAAAAATTTAAAAAAAAATAGAATTTTAAAAGAAGAACCTACTAAAAAAAATCAAAGTTCAATAAAAAAACATAAAAAACTGAGTTAATTTGAGTTAATTTTACTTATCCGGTCTCATAATAACTAAATAAAAAAAAAAGAGAATTTTAAAAGAAGAACCTACTAAAAAAAATCAAAGTTCAATAAAAAAACATAAAAAACTGAGTTAATTTGAGTTAATTTTACTTATCCGGTCTCATAATAACTTAATAGAAAAAAAAGCTAAAAAAGACAAAGTTTAAGCGCCAATAATTTAATTTCAAATGATAAAATTAAAAAAAACTAATGTCATAAAAAAAGTCGAGGAAAAAAAACTCGGGTTAACTCGATTAACACACTACCCGCGACATGAGATCAAAATAAAAAAAAACCTCAGACTTTTTAAAGAAGAACTCAACAAAAAAAAAAACCAAATTTAAATAAAAAGTATTGCAAAAAACTCGTGTTAGCCTTGATTAATTTAATTAACCTGCACTGAGGATAACTCAACAAAAAAAAAAACTTAGGATTTCAAAAGAAATGTATGCTAAAAAAAGACCAAAGTTCAATAAAAAAACTAAGTTAATCTAAGTTAACTTTACTTACCCGCTCTCAAAATAACATAATAGAAAAAAAAAGTAATAATTTATTTTAAATGATAAAATTAAAAAAAAATCAATGTAATATGAAAAAATCTAGAAAATAAATTCGAATTAATCAGGGTTAACTCAACTAACCTATTACTCGGATTATGAGATTGGAAAAACTCAAAAAAAAAAAGTGGAATAGACAACAAAGCCAAGAGCTCAATAATAAAATATCAAATAATGAATTAAAAAAAAACAAATTCTTAATAAATGACAAAAAAAAAGACTAAACTTAATTGGGTTCGGGTCATGAGATAATAATTAACTTATAGGAAGACAATAAAATTTCCAACCTTAAAACAATTTAAAATTCAAACAATATAGATCAAATATGATATAAAAGTAGAATGAAAGAAAAATAATTAGGTGTTAAATTGAAAAAAATGAAATAAAATGTTGAGGGATAACATAAAAAATCAAGAAAATAACAATTAAAAGAATAAAGAATAAAATTGGATTAAAAAATAACTGAAATAAAATGGCAAGAAATAATTAAAAAAAATTAAGAAAAGTGTATAAAACACAAAAAAAGAGCAATTGAAAGTAGAAGGATCAAATTAAAAATAAAAATTAAATAAAATAAAATATTCAGAGATAAAATTATAAAAAAACTAAACTTTAAAAAACATTAGAAGTAAAATAAATAGTAATTAAAAGAATGAGGATCAAAATCAATAAAATTACAAAGTAGATGACATAATTTTATTTTGAAAAGGCTATTATGAATTTCAAAGCTTGAGTCAATAAAATTACAAAGTGGATGACATAATTTTATTTTGGAAAGGCTATTATGAATTTCAAAGCTTGAGAGAGATAAGAAAAAAAAACTCCATCGTAACTAGCCCAATCAAACCTCCATTTTTAATACGCGCCACATTATTGGAAAAATGATAACTCATAGTTCCCAACCCTGCCGTGGATGAAGGATTTTAGTAACTTTAAGGCCTTATACATTCTGCCCAAAAGGTTCGGGGGCTCTGACCATGTGCCAACGCGATTCATAATTTGTTTTGATAATATTTAATTATTTTAAATTATCAAATAACTATTAACTAAATCTAAAAAATACAAAAAAATCTATAATGAAAAGAATAAAATGCTATTGAAACCAAACTTAGTTTTTGTTTAATTTAATGGTAATTATGTAATTTAACAGTTTAAAAAAATTGAAAAGATAAAGAAGGTCCTCATGCATGTTCACTTTTTTTTTTCTCTAAAAGGTATTATTATTATTTTTTTATGTAATTATATTTTTTAAAAAAAGATAAAAGATAATGATCAAAAGCTTAATATTTTTTTTAAAAAGAAAAATAATATTTTACTCTGATAAAAAGGATGTCATGATCAATTTATCTCTAATTAATTTTGTAACAACTAATGGATACCTGAAAAGATAATTCTACCAAAAGCTTTCTAAGTTTTCCGTTCAAGAATATATATAAGCTAGCGTCATTTCATTGTCCTAATATATAAACAGTGAAATGTATTTAATGGCAACAGTATGTTACTGATGGCTTATAGTATATTTATTTATTTTCTGGGTAATGTGGGCAAATGAATACGTGGCCAGTGATTAATCTATATGTCTTCACCATCGGTGACCCGTGCCTAACTCATCCTCCACGCGAAGCCGCCTTGTTTTAGCATATGCCATCTGGCTTGTAATGTTTATGTCTGTAGAAGGACGTTATAAAAAACTCTAAACTGTAGCCAAAACCAGGTATTGGAGGAAAGAAATTGCTGGAACGATTATCCGAAAGCTTGTTTGATGCCACCATATATATATGAAGCTCAACAAAGGCAGCACGGTTAATATCTATTGAAGCCTCGTTTGGCATCTAATTCACCTGCAACAAATTCTTTGTGTCGTCTGCTTTCTCTTATATATATATATATATATATATAACCTATGAATGAATTCACAATAGGGTTAAATGAATTCTTTTAAAGATATTGTTATATTCTAAATGAAAATTACTTAATTTATAAAAAAAAACATATAAAAGTAAATGAGTGGAGATCTTATGATTTATTATAATAATCTCTCATTATTAAAATTAACGTTGAAAATAATATTTTATAAAAACGTCACATGTTAACAAAAACCTTATTTTTACATCCCCCACCCCCCAAAAAAAAAAAAAAAACCCCTTGACAACACTATTTCCTATCTTTCTTTACTTGGTATTAATACCACCAATATATATTTTTTTCTTTTATTTATTTTTGGTTTTCGCCCGAATCTTTCGTTTTTTTTTTCTTTTTTTTTTTCTGGTGAACTTAGCCAATTATGCATGGATAATTAATCGGTATTTTTGTAACAAAAATAATTTCTTAAATTAATAAAGAAATTAAAATTGATAATTCAATTTATTATTGCATGCATTCTAAATAGAAAAGTTGAACTCAAATATATGTTTTGGTGTTTTATTTCAAATAAAAATTATAATAGACTATCAATTAAATTTTAGTTTGCTCATAAATTTAATTTAATTATATGAAGTACATCAACTCTCATATTATGTGAAGGAAAGTTACTTTCCAATTTTTAGATGAACAAACAAATAGAAATTTGAGAAGGAAGGAACATGATTAATCTCACAAGGAAGGAACAAATGACGCAATCGAATACACAATAATATTAAAATGGCTGAATGAACAAGCAGTAAAGTTTTTATTAAACAAGCGAAAATGTGACATCCCACATGATCATGTGCTAGCTGGTTAGCACCTTCATTGCTCAGACGACTGATTAATTTAATAAAATTGACTTTCTTTTCAATATCATTAATCAAGAGAAGCAACACAATTAAAAAAAAAAAAACTCATCCACTAAGTTTTTTTTTTTATATATATATATAATATATATAATAGCTTTAAAAACATCTTAAAGCACATTTGACTGCTCCTTTGATGTTTGTTTTCTATTTTTTGGCTGGATCAATGGGAATGCAATTAGGTACATTAGAAATTTAAATCTTGCAAATTAAAAATTACCCAATAAATCATTGATCAATATAACTATTGATGAATACTCTATACAGATTCAGAATAAAAGAAGGGAATAATTTTATTAATTGCAGTGAGTGAACAAGTTATATAAATCCTTGATCAATAATGTCAGAAGTTGACAATGTCAACTACTTGGGAATTGAGCAAAAACTAGTTACTTGTTACGTGATTCTCTGCAGATTTGAGAATTTCTTTTATACAAAGCCAAAAAATAATGTGTACAATAGATTCTGCAATGAAATATAATTGTTTGTGCTTACTGAAATAAACCGAGTAACATATGTTGTTAAAAAAATTAGTTTTTTTAAGTGATTTTATTATCTAATTAAGATTTAAACCGATTTGATTTTAGGGTTTTTTGTTAATAAGGAGACAATGATACATTAACCCCATACAATCCAGGTAACTGTTAAAATTATAATCCAAAACATTGACATGATTATAATGTGCTAAGCTTGTCTGGCCTTCATTGGACTTGAGTTGGATGAAATTCAAAATTCAATTGAGGATGTCTCAGAAAATCATGAACTAAATTGAAAGAAAAGAGTTTGGGTGTTGGGTGGATTCAAAATCAAAATTCAATTGAGACGTTATAAATTTAAAGATTAAAGGGAAAAAAGATGGAGACATAAAACTAGCGTGTGCAAACTAAGCACCAGCAATTGAAAGCTGCTGTCTAGCTTTGGATAGCATGTGAGGGTGTGCAAAATCAAGCACCAGCAATTGAAAGCTGCTGTCTAGCTTTGGATAGCATGTGAGGACTCAAACGGCCT